TCCGTCTTGCGATCGAGTGGTCTGTAGTGAAGACGAGATGGAAGGGTCTAGCGACCCTGCGATCGAGTGATATGTCCTCCATGACAGCTTCTGTTCGATCTTGCGATCGAGTGGTTTCTTCTGAAATTGCTCCAGATTGTGATCGAGTGGTTTTTCCCTTCATGACAATTTCTGGGGTTGCGATCGAGTGCTTTGCTCTGTCAGGGCTCCGAGGTTACGATCGAGTGCTTTGGCTGAAGGAGTGATTGAGCGTTCCAAATTTCTGTTCTGTTTCTCCTCTGTTTGAACTCCAAAAGCATCCAAAGTACTTGAAAACAACCAAATATACAATGCACATGCAATTCTAATGCAAAACCGTCCTAAGTATGCAAAACACACTAAAACGACTACTAATGAGATGAAATATGGTTGAAACAATGACAAAGTGATGAAGAATGAATGCCTAAATCATGCAATTTATAGACATATCAATCAGTGCTATATTATTCATGTTCAATTTGTCAAATTTTAAGCTAGCTGATTTTAATTTAAATATTTTATGGTTTTATTTAATTATTATGTTTAAGAAATAATTGAATAGAATAACATAAAATTTAAGCAAACATCTATCCTTATTTTGTAATAAATTATAAACATTTTCATTAAATTCAAATTTTATCTTATGTTTATGTTTGATAAAGAAAAATGTATCAAATTTATGATTATATTTTATATTTTATGAGTTGATTTGACTAAACTTGTTGACAAAAATAACTATTTAACTAATATTTACAATTTTAATTAACTAATTATTTTAAAAAAATTCAGCCAGATTCAGCCGTTACCATTTACACATTCAATTATTCAGCTAGATTCAGCTAAAAGTCGCTATAAAATTCAGCCAGATTCAGCAATTCAGCCGGATTCAGCCGAATTCAGCGGTTACCATTTATACCCATTGTGAAGTATTGTACATGCTCGCATAAATCTTTCCTATTTTTACCTTATCCCAAATAAGAGCTATATTTTTGACAATGACAAATCGAGCTCGCAAAACTCCAAAAGCACATTCAACATCTTTACGACAAGGTTCTTAATTTATAACAAATAAAGATGCTTTCGACCTTGTGGAATTGAGATTAGATAAATATAGCCCATTTTGGATAGTAAGCCAAATGGTATTCGTTTCCGTTGACTAAGTATTTTACTTTCGGAGCTTTACCCTATAATAATATATCATCAAAAACTGGTGAGCGACCAAGAATATTGATATTGTTTAAGATACTTGGAGGTCCAAAAAACGTGTGCCATATCCAAAGATCTTGGAAAACAACAACCTCTAAAATGATTGTTAGTTTCTAGATTCACGTGTATATTGTCCTTTCCAAGAGGTGGGACAATTCTTCCATTACCAATGCATACAATCGATGCTTCCTATCATCAACGAAAATCCATGTAGCTCTCCAATATCGAGTTGTCATTTAAGATCTGCTCGTGTAGATCTTCTTAAGTACTCATTTCCGAACAAATATATGATTCCTTCAACAAAATGTTCCAAACATAACATCAATTTTTTTCATCAATTTGGAGGTATTCGTCAACCGCATCAGCCGCATAACCATATGCCAGCATACGGATTGCTACTGCAGACTTCTATAGTGCTGAAAAACCGATCTTTCCGGTAGCATCTCTTCTTTATTCAAGAATGGAACTTCATCGAAGAGTCGATCAACAATAGGCATGAAAAAGTGCTTGTTCATTCTAAAAAGGCGTCAAAATATATGAAGTGGAAATGTTGCATCTTCTCTTAAATAATCGTTCCATAACTGGATGTGTCCTTGTTCATGATCTCTTTCAATACATGCTCGAGTTTTCTTTGACATGATTTGTTGACGATCACAATAGTTCTCTAATGCTTGGTCGATAAAATGATCAAACTTATCATACATCATTTCGTTGTGATTATAATGTGAAGAAGATGTCAATTTTTTAAAAAGAGAATTTGTTATGAAATGTAGTAATGTATCGTGACAAAGAACAATGATTTGGAGAGAAGGTAGATTGTTTGGTGAAAAGGAAGAATGATTTGGATAAATGGTATATTGTTTTGGAGAAAAGATAGAATGTTTTGGAGGAGAAGAAGATTGTTTTGGAGAAAATAAAAGTGTTTATTCATATAGAGAGAAGTGTTCAGTTTGTATATAAAGAGAAACTAAATAACATAAATTGAAAATGACAAATAAGCATTCAAACCAAATTGCAAGTGGGAATATTGTCTTGTGGTTTACAATCATTCAAACCAGATACTAGTAGTGTCATAAAAACGAGTGGTGTCGGCACAAAAACACAAAAGAAATAGTGTCACTTATGTATCTTGTACAAGTGATGTCGGCACAAGTTGTGTCTTCCATGTCACTGCAAAATTGTTAATAATCAAAGTGATTAGACCAAACACAACTAATAAAAGTATCAAACACAAACTCAGTTCATTAATCGCAAAACACAAATTCATATAAGTTAGCATTCAAGAACATAAAGTAAGACAACATTAAGACAATATTCATAACAGACACTTAAGACAAAAAACTAAAAAACATACTTAAACGTAAAACGTAAACTAAAAAGCATACTTAAACTTAAGACAACATATCAGTTATTAGCTTGTTCTTAAGAGCCATTTCTATGGCAGATAAAGGTTCTATTTTTGCAAGTAAACTATCAAATAAATTAGTCATACTTAGCTTCTTTTTTACATTAATTAATTTTTCTTCGAAAGCTAAATCTTTCTCCTTAATCTCCCAAATCCACTATAACTTCTTCACAGTCTTGTCTTCTTCTCCTTCTATAGTGGTTGTCTTGGCTTTGGCTTTGACTTTTGATGCTTTAACACCAGGGAGACGAGGTTTATCCTCTGTAAAGCTAACTGGCACAGAGGATGAAGAGGGTGCTGGGTGTTCATCACACTTTGTTATCTTTGATGGTCAATTTTCTTTAGTAGAAGATGATCCACACCACTTCTGGTCATGGCGAAGCTCCCTCCAAGCATGCTCAAGGGTGAACTTGGTATTTTGATCATTGTAGAAGATCTAGTGAGCTAAGTTGACTATATCATTCTCATTCTGGTTACTGGGTTTCTCTTTGGTTGCAACCAAATAGCTTCGTACAAACTTACATACATCCTCATTTATCTTTGTCCACCTTTGTTTATAGCATAATGAGGCTCACTTTTGTAGACTTTTTTAGCTTGGAACTTGCGGCAAAGTAGTCTGTTATTCATTGCCAGAATGTTGTGGCGTTTTGCTCATTGGATACAACGAGATCCTTGGACGTGTTGAGCCAGGCACTGATGAGGATCACATCTTCTGTTAGTGACCATTTACATATTGATTTACGGTCTGTAATTGGCTCTTTAACTTGGCTTGGATCAATCCAAGGTGTACTAAAGGGAAAACCATCTTACTAATTTGGTGGAAGCATGGGGTTATCTTGTTTACTGTTTAAGAGGTTTAAAATGCTTGAAAAATTAGTATGTGGATTCCTTGAAACCATATCAACTTGTTTACTGGTGTGTTAAAAGGAGAAAAGAGGTTTATAGTTCTGTGCTTTAAGATGACAATGAAGGAAAGAGCTTCAGTATTTAATAGAGCTTTAGTGTTAAGTTGAAGTGATAGTTAGGTGTTAAGTTAAAGCATTGATCACAGAGGTATTGATCAATGAGAGCAATCAATGACATACTAATAACTTTAATCTATGCTAAACATACCAAGCATTGATAGCATAGATCATAAGTATGATGTAGACACCAAAGACTTTGACCTAATCTTAACTAGTCATAATCGTTATAGCTAAGCATGTATAACAAAGAGCATAAGCATTGAATTACCTTGCATAGTTAGGTTGTTGAAAGATTGAATGAACTCAGATAATTGAAGAAGACATCATTGTTGCAAGTGCTCCAATTAACCTCGAGCAAAACATAGAGACATATAAAGATCAAAATTCAATTCATAGAATCTAAATACCAAAACATATGAAAATAAAATTTAGTTCACAGACACGTGAAGATCATATCAAGATCATACAATCAATGACATATGAAGATCATAATCAATTCAGAAAAACGGAGAAACATATGAAGATCATATTCAATTAAAAGAAACGAAATACAAGTCAAATACATATCATATTCAGATACTTCAATTCATAGACATATCAAATTCTTATCAATCTCTAGCGATGACAAATACAATCTATATAAAAACAGAGATTCAACTTGATATCAAATTCGAATGAAAATAAACAATCTATAGGCAAAAAATCGTCTTCAATCATGACTAATAACGAAGAAAGAGACTGATTATGTATTCAAACCTTTAGATTGTTTGTTTCCATTCGAATTTGATATCAAGTTGAATCTCTATTTTGTATGTATATTGTATTTTTTATCGCTAGAGATTGATATGAATTTGATATGTCTATGAATTGAAGTCTCTGAATATGATATGTATTTGACTTGTATTTCGTTTCTTTTAATTGAATATGAACTTCATATGTTTCTATGTTTCTCTGAATTGATTATGATCTTCATATGTCATTGATTGTATGATCTTGATATGATATTCAAGTATTTGTGAATTAAATTTTATCTTCATATGTTTTGGTATTCAGATTCTCTGAATTGAATTTTGATCTTTATATGTCTCTATGTTTTGCTCGAGGTTAATTGGAGCACTTGCAACAGTGGTGTCTGCTTCATTCAATTATCTGAGTTTATTTAATCTTTCGACAACCTAACTATGCAAGGTAATTCAATGCTTATGCTCTCTATTATCCATGCTTAGCTATAACGATTATGACTGGTTTAGATTAGGTTAAAGTCTTTTTTGTCTACATCATACTTATGATCTATGTTATCAATGCTTGATACGTTTAGCATAGATAAAGTTATTAGTATGTCATTGATTGCTCTTAGTGATCAATACATTTGTGATCAATGCTTTAACTTAAAACTTAACCATCACTTCAACTTAACACTAAAGCTTTATTAAACACTGAAGCTCTTTCCTTCATTGTCTTTTTAAAGCATAGAACCATAAACTTCTTTAATTTTTTTTCCTTTTAACACACACCAGAAAAAAGTTGATATGGATTCCTTCAAGCATTTTAAACCTCTTTAACAATCAACAAAATAACCACATGCTTCCACCAAATCAGTATGATGGATTTTCCTTTAGTACACCTTGGATTGATCATGGCCAAGTTGAAGAACCAATTATAGACCGTAAATCAAGACGCAAATGGTCACCAACAAAAGATGTAATCCTCAACAGTGTTGGCTCAACACCTCCAAGAATCTTGTTGTATCGAATAGGCAAAAAGCCACAGCATTCTGGCAACGCATAGCAGACTACTTTGCCGCAAGTCTCAAGCTACAAGATCTGCAAAAGAGAGTCCCATTATTTTATAAACAGAGGTGGGCAAAGATAAATGAGAGTGTATGCAAGTTTGTAAGAAGCTATTTAGTTGCATCCAAAGAGAAAACTAGTGGCCAGAATGAGAAAAATGTGGTCAACTTGGCTAACTAGATCTTCTACAATGATCACAATACCAAGTTTACCCTTGAGCATGCTTGGAGGGAGCTTCGCCATGATTTGAAGTGGTGGGAATCGTTTTCTATTGAAGACAATGGACCACTAAAGAGAACAAAGTGTGATGAACACTCTACAGAGTCCTCATCCTCTGTGTAAAATGATCAACCTCGTCCCCCTGGTGTTAAGGCATCAAAAGCCAAAGCCAAAGCCAAAACAACCCACTGTAGAAGGAGAAGAAGATGAGACTCTGAAGGAGTTACAGTGTATTTGGGAGATTTATGAGAAATATTTAGCTTTTAAAGAGAAGCTAATTGATGTTAAAGAGAAGCTAAGTATTGCTAAATTGCTTCATAGTTTACTTGCAAAAACAGAGTCTCTATCTGACATAAAAATGACTCTTAAGAACAAGCTAATAACTGATATGTAGTCTTAATTTTAAATATTTTTTTTAGTTTCTTTCTTAAGTGTTTGTTATGAATGTTGTCTTAATATTGTCTTACTTTATGTTTTTGAATGTTAACTAATATGTATTTATGTTTTGCGTATTAATGAACTGAGTTTGTGTTTCATGCTTTTATTAGTTGTGTTTGGTCTAATTACTTTGATTATTAACAATTTTGCAGATGCATGAGACACAACTTGTGCCGACATCACTTGAACAAAAGACACAAGTGACACCACTTTTTGTGTTTTTGTGCCGACACCACTCGTTTCTATAACACCACTTGTATTTGGTTTGAATGATTGTACAACACAAGATAATATTCCCACTTGTAATTTGGTTTGAATGCTTATTTGTCTTTTTCAATTTATGTTATTTCGTTTCACTTTATATACAAACCGAACACTTCTCTCTACATGAATAAACACTTTTATTTTTCTCTAAAATAATCCTCTTCTTCTCCAAAACATTCTATATTTTCTACAAAACAATCTTCTTCTTCTCCAAAATAATATACCATTTCTCCAGACCGTTCTTCCTTTTCACTAAACAATCTACCTTCTCTCCAAATTATTCTTCTTTATCACCATATATTACTACATTTCATAACAAATTCTCTTTTTCAAAAAATAGCATCTTCTTCACATTATAATCTCAAAAAAATGATAGAAGATAAGTTTGATCAATTTATCGACCAAGCATTAGAAAATTATGGTGATTGTCAACAAGTCAAGTCAAAGAAAAAACGAGCATATTATTTCAAAGAAGATGCAACATTCCCTCCTCATATATGGAACAATTATTTCAAAGAAGATGCAACATTCTCTCCTCATATATTTCGATGCCGTTTTAGAATGAACAAGCACTTGTTCATGCGTATTATTGATCGACTCTCCGATGAATTTTAATTCTTTGAAGAAAGAAGAGATGCTACCAGAAGGTTCAGTTTCTTGGCACTAACGAAGTCCACAACAGCAATTCGTATGCTGGCATAAGGTTATGTCGCTGTGCGGTTGACGAAAACCTCCGAATTGGTGAAAGAACTTCGATGTCATATTTGGAACATTTTGTTGAAGGAATCATATATTTTTTCGGAGATGAGTACTTAAGAAGACCCACACAAGCAGATCTTAAACGGCTACTCGATATTGGAGAGCTACGTGGATTTTCTGGGATGATAGGAAGCATCGATTGTATTCATTGGGAGTGGAAGAATTGCCCCACCTCTTGAAAAGGGCAATATATACGTGGATCAGGAAATCCAACAATCGTTTTAGAGGCTGTTGCTTCCTAAAATCTTTGGATATGGCAGAAGTTTTTTGGACCTCCAAGTACCTTAAACGATTTTAATATTCTTGATCGTTCACCAGTTTTTGATGATATATTACCAGGTAAAGCTCTGGAAGTGAAATACTTAGTCAACAGGAACCAATACCATTTAGCTTACTATCTCACAGATGGAATTTATCCCAAATGGGGTACATTTATCCAATCTATTTCAATTTCATAAGGTCGAAAAGCATCTTTATTTGCTAGAAATCAAGAAGCTTGCTGTAAAGATGTTGAACGTGCTTTTGGAGTTTTGCAAGCTCGAAGCTCTTATTGGGATAAAGTAAAAATAGGAAAGATTATGCGAGCATGTATAATACTTCACAATATGATAGTAGAGGACAAACAAGATGGATACACTCAGTTTGATGTATCCGAATTCGCACACCCGGAATCAACAAGATCTTCACAAGTGGATTTCCCTATTCTATAGATATACCTTCAAATCTCGGTAATATGGTGGCCAATCGAACCCGAGTTCGTGATCGAGCTATGTATCAACAATTGAAAGCTAGTTTTGTTGATCATATATGACTTAAATTTGGCACGAATCAAGCTAACGACTAATCTTTATTCCGGTTTTTTATTTGTATATTTTTATATGCTTTTATGTCATGTATGTTTAAAATTTTAGGAAATTATAATAATTATTAAGTTTTATCAAATCAAAATATTTATAATTTTTCATTTAAAAATAATATTTTTTTGTTAAGACACCGACTTAAGACTCTACCATTAGACAAAAAAAATTTAAGAACTCAACACAAACTCTTAATTTTGAAATTGTCAGAATTTATAATTATTAAAGTTTTATGAGCTTTTTTAAGTACTTTCCATTGGATTCAACAAAGAATTTTGAATGGTAATTTTCTTAAAACAAGTGGATCTATGATTAAATTGTCATTGTAATTTTGTTTTTAAAATTAAATTCGAATATATTCACGCTTTGTTATCGGAAACCAGTGAAAAAGTGGATGGTTAGATCGCCTGCTTGAAGAAATTGAACTTTGAATATCATTTTTGTTATTGTTGTCGTTTTCAAATGTTGAACTTTTTTTTGGAATTTTAGTTATACAATGCTTAAGTTGTTATGATTATTGTTTGTCTTGTTTTGTTGTTGATGGAAAAATTTCTCAGTTTTTTTTTTATAAGTAATTGGATATAGTCAGAAAGTATTAATTTCTCTATATGTCCAAAAAAAAAACACAAACAGCATAGAGCTCAATAAAATTTAAATTACAAGAAAATAAAAGAAAACATATATAAACACTTAAGAAAAAAAACTACAAATATATACATATATATCTTATGCAAAACCGAACACAGAAAAAAATAATATCTATATATATATATAGATAGATAGATAGATAGATAGATACATTTGCTACTATGATTAAGAAAACATTGACATATGGTGTACGGAGGTACGACTCTACTATAAACCATGTAGAAAACGGTATATAGTAGTCCGTCGAACCACTTTAAATTAACGTAGCATTTATAACATCTGTAGCGTTGAAACGCTTTGAAATTTTTTCCCAAGATGTCAAACAAGGCTAAGCTCCTCATAAGGTAAGTTCTCGGGAAAGATTTTTGCAAAAAGAAAACATTACATAAGATTTAGTGGATACCTTGATAGGTCTTTGGGGAGTTTCTTTAAATAGATATTAATACTCCGAGTATAGACCAAACACCGACCTAAACTCCTCAATGCTAATGTCGCATTGGTTTGCGTCGGAGAGTTCCTGGGTCGACTTGGTTAGAAGAAAAATCATTAGAAATCCTCTTACATTCATTGACATCCCGTGTCAGGGTTAATGCGGCCGTAGAAGATTAGATATATCATCACTCGTCTTTAAGGCTTATAGCGTCAATATACGTATCTAACTTACTCATAATAAAAGTCCTAATATAACTGATTAAAATCTATATTCCTTGAGAAACTTAATTGTTAATGAGATTGCAGTAACTATTAAATTCGGTTGAAATATAATATTTTGATACTTAATTTGTAGCATTATCTTGTTTTGCAATCTTTTCACATCTTCAACGATTACCGATAGACTTAAACATCGCATCTGTCTACATTTTTGACATCGAACATCTAATAAAAAGAAAGAAAAATTTATATTCAATGTATCAAGTTGAAATCTATCACCTTTTTAAATATAATCAACTATAATTTCTCCGCCATAAATCAAAGCCATTTAAATTAGAAAAACAAAACTTACAAACTTTTTAAGTTGATGCTGGATATACATCCTCGCCCCTCCACATAAAAATTTAGGTTTGATTATGGCAAAGGAATATGTATTTATTTGTGTGTAAACTTATATCTTTGTTTGACTACTAATATCTTAAGCTTTTTGTTAGGGTGTGAGGATTAAAACTATTGTGCACAAGAAAATTTCTAGTTTTTATGGCAATTTTATTGATGAAGGCTAATGGTTATCGATTATGAACTTCGGTGTTGGCTTGAAGTCGGAAGCGGTTAGAGCGACTATGAACTTTGGTGTTGGCTTGAAGTCGGAAGCGGTTAGAGCGACCTCTCATCCTTACAAGATCTACTGTTTACACTACACTGTTGTGAAATTTTTTTTTCCCGTTCTAAAAAAAACTACATAATCATTTCTCATCATTTTCTTCAATCATCGATGATGCTTCCATTGATACGACTGTATTAGTTGGTAAATTTAACGATCTATACTTAAATCGGATTAGATCTATGATATATGCATACTGATTTAGGGTTTATGTTAAATATTTTTTTTCTTAATTTTTATTGACATTGTGGGAGGCGTTATTGAAGTTGGCTATCTAGAGAACATTATTTATGATTTCCAGGATGCTAGTGGTTTCATAATTTTGTTCAAGATCAAGGACAAAGAGTTAGTATTTTTAAATACATAAAAGTATATTTAAATAATGTTTGAGATTGACTTGCTAAATTTGTCTTTGGAACGAAGTGAACATGTTTTGGATTGTATGGTGCTGAAAACAAAGCTGTAGATTTTGGGGGAAAATGCTCATTTTATTCCCCATTTATTTGCAATTAACACATTAATTCCTGAAATTTCATAAGAACAAAATAAATCATTAACTTTCTGTTGACTTAACGTTTTTGGATCAAATTATTGTCAACGTTTAGTAACTAACAGATGCGTTAAATCCCCTCGACTAAACGTAATAAATCCAAAGAAAGTCTCCAAAAATTCCCAATTTTCCCCCGAATAAGAACCCTAGAACCTGAGATTAAAATCGATAGAGAGACACAAAGATTGAAATCGATCGAGAGACACAGAGATTGAAATCAAATTCATTGATTTCAAGGCGAATACCATGAATAGACGAAGGAGAAAGCTTCCAATTCGAAGGGATGGTAAATCCCAAATTGAACCTGAGAGAGTTGAAGCCGCTGATCAAGATGAATCCGAAATAGTTGGAGGCGATGGAGTTGCAAGCAACGGGGTTGCAGAGCGTGGAGTTGCAGAAGATGGAGGTATAGGTGATGGAGTTGCAGAGGAGATAGTAAACGAGGAGGAAGTAGGCTATGATTCTCATGATTCTAGTGTTTACGAAGATGATTGTCCGGCTATCGTCGAAGATAGCAATGGGTACAGAGAGGTAGAACAATGTTTAGCTGAAAATTCAGAGGAAGAAGAAGATGAACTCATTGATGTTGAAATCTGCAACAACTTAGAAGACCATGTGTGTGAAGATGATGTAGGTAATAAATCTGTGAAAGTGGAGATGATGTTTGGGACGACGAGAAGATTTCGGATCCATTATCAGATGATGATGATAAATATGAACTTGAGAGGCTATTCACTCATGGAGAACGTTCTAAAGGTCTGCTAGCATTGAATAAAACATTCAACAATGTGGATAAATTCAAGTATGCACTCCTCAGTTTTTCTTTGAAAACTAAATACGATGGGGATAACAGAATATTTCCAATTGCTTAGGCAGTGGTAGAGTTGGAAGATATAGATAATTGGATGTGGTCTGTGCAACTGCTGAAAAAAGACATGAGTTTTGAAGATGGAGCTGACATTACAATGTAATCAGATAAACACCACGTAAGATTTCTAGTTTTTGTAAGTTATATGTAAAATTTTCTGATTTTTTTTTGTGTAGGATATTAAAATTATTTACTTGTGGTGACAGTGTTTACTAAATGCAGTTCATGATGAGCTTCCTCAAGCTGAACACAAAATGTGTGCAAGACACATTTTGAAAAACTAGAAGAAGACAAACAAGGATATTGAAACTTGAGTGTATGTTTTGGAAAATAGCAAGGAGTTACACATCAGTAGCCTTTGCAACAAACTTAGAAGCACTGAAGAAGTATAATCAAGGTGCGTATGACTCACTACAACGCACTGCACCAACAACTTGTTCTCGGGCTTTCTTTAAATTTGGCTCTTGTTGCAATGATAACCTTAACAACCAATTAGAATCCTTCAATAGAAATGTTGGAGAGTAAAGAAGGTTTCCAATACTTGATTTCTTAACAGAGGTTAGGAGAAAGTTCATTGACAGGAATGCAAAGATGACACTTTTAACTATTTGGTGGAAGAAGAGGTTTACAGCAAGAGCAGATAGAGAGATTGAATTAAATAGGCAGAAAGCCAAGGAAACTTGCATGAGATAGAGTGTGGAGTGATGTTTACTATGTTGATATGGAAAAGAAAACATGTGGTTGTGGCTATTGGCAGTTGAATGACATACCTTGTATGCATATTATGTGTGTCATAAATACCAGAAAGTTGGATCTGAATGAGTATGTCTCTGAATGAGTATGTCTTTGATTAATACTTGACTTCAAGGTGGTGTTTATTGTATCAGAAAGGAATTAAACCAGTCCAAGGCATGAATATGTAGAAAAGGTTAGGTCGCTTACCTGTGCTACCACCACTAGCTAGATTTAATCAAAGGAAGAACACATGGTCGTTCTAGGAGAAAGGCTCCTCATGAGTCTACATCTAATATGTACAAGTTAACTCACCATAATAAGACTAGGTGTTCTAATCCGACTGCAACTCTTGAAGCAAAATGACCAAGAGGTCGTCAAAGAAAAGTACATGTTAGTTCTTTTGTTAAATTTTTTGGTATTCTTCACTCCTTGGTGTCATAATGGTTTGATTGATTCTTAGTTTGTAGTGAGAATCTTATGTTGGAGCATCTCAAGGTGGATATTCTCATGCTAGGTCATCACAAGGAGACTATTCTCAAGCAAGAGCTTCTCAAGATGGATCATCACAAGGAAGATTCGGCTTCTCTCTTTAGTCCATGGAGATTCTGTTTTAGGCTTGGTTTATGTAGTTTATGTTTTTTTAAAGACCATGAAGGCATGATGTTTTTGGTTTTAGTTTAAGACCATGAAGGTTTAGTTTAAGACCATGAAGTTCCTGTTTTATTTAGTACAATGCAATTTCACTTGAATTGTCTTCAAACCCTAGAATGGGAACCATAATTCTTACAAAGTCAAAACCAAAAGATGAAGCTGAAAGTCTTACAAAGTGGGGAAAAAGGGTCTATTAAAAATTGTCTTTAAACCGATAACTCATAGCTACCAAATGGACTGATACATTATTGACCAAATACAAGTTTGTTTCCTCCCTTGTGAACCATACTGTAGTAAATGATCAAAATAACACAAACGAGATTCACCATGTTCTTAATTCTGGCTTTGCGTACTTCAGTTTTGCATTATCTGATCTCTTCTTTCAGATTTAGGATCATATCTTTTACCCCATCTACTTCGACCTTCTCATTCTCAATCTCAGATTCTCTTTGTAACATGTCTACAACCTCTTACCACAACGAAAGTAAGGACGACTGGGATTGAGTTTGGATTGTGATGTAAAAACAGAGACATTACTTCCGCACACACAATTCTTTGGAAATCCTATTTCACACCGATAGTAACACAAAAAGTCAACAAAAAGTTAATGATTTATTTTATGCTCATGAAAGTTCAGGAATTAATGTGTTAATTGTAAATAGATAAAGAATAAAATGAGTATTTTCCCGTAGATTTTGACATAATTATCACATTTTTGGTGGTGGTGTTCTGGTGGCGGTTCAGGTGGTGGAAAGTTGACCGTTACTTTGATGATCCGAAGAATGTCTGGATATGCACAAATGGTCTCATTTCAAAACTATATCCGAAACCAAAAATATAGTTAATTAAAGTTGACGTAATTCATGAGATGTAAGATATAAGTTCTTTTAAATGTCAAAAGAGTTCTTCTGTAAGCATGTGAACAACGATTTTGTTTGTTTGCTGATATGGGTCAAATTAACTCCTAAAGCCTACTCTCTCAAATAAGAGATCTATTGCAGTACTTGAGGGTCGAATTCCACAAAGTTCTTTTGTTCACACAATAAGTTATAAGTTTCGAAATTAGGCTAAATGAAATTATTAAAATTAAAATAAAATAATAGCAAGCAATGATTTCAGGTGAAAGTTCAATAGATTAAAGACTCAGGTTTAGGGAAATTCTCAGGAAATAAATTATTAGTAAATATAGCAAGTTAATTAAGATTATTTAATGAACCGTTCTTGAACTCAAATCACTAATGAATAGCTAACCACCTCTCGATGCGATAACTAACAAGCCTTATCAGTAATTCCACCTCTCGATGCGAATTCCTAGATCTAGACTAGCATTAAATTCAGGTTTGATAAGTTCACCTTAGTAGATAGGCCGATTCTTATTACACACCTATAAACCAGGCTCATCTAAAGTAATTCAGGTAACAGGTGCCCTCTCGGATCAAATACCTATTATCCTATGATCAAGTTCTAGTTAGCTACTCTAGAACTAGCATTAAGAACAACCTAGATGAAGAACTCTATGGATTAATCCTAACAGATAATTGATTTACTAGTTCATCTAAATCCCTAATGAGAATCCCTAAACCTAACAGGAAGATTACTCAGACATGATTAATGAAACAGAAAACATGTTGAATAAATTGCAAAATAAGAAATTAAAAGAAGAAAAGAGTTTAGAATAAATCTTCTCTCTAACAAAGTGTTGAATCTCTGAAAAGTTGCTCTCTCCAATTCTTCCAAAGGGTTCAAGCTCAGAGAATTATAAAAGCCAAAAATAAGATAATGAAATAGAAAAACCCTAAAAACTATTTATAAAGTCTCAAAAACGTGCAGAGACTGAAATTACAAATAGGGAAGTCTTCTGGGTTAATTCTGCGGGCTTTAAAAACTATAAACCGTCGAGATTTCTTGCTGGACCGCGTATGGTGTCGAGCGACATCACGGGTGTCGGTCGACACCAATGCCTTGGTTCGAACCGGATTCGTCTCTTTAGCTCCAAATCTTCGGTTTAACTCCAGAATGATTCATTTTCTCTAATTTCGTCCCGAACGTGCAAAAACTTGAAAAGACTCAAAAAGACACTAGAAACAATAAAAAGACTCTAAAACTAACAAGTAAATCACGGTTAAAAACCGGTAAAATCCGTGATATATCATTTGCTTACTACTTTTGTAGGCTACCAAGGAGTGCTCAAGAAAATGTCGCATGATTATTCTATCTCTTGTCGAAGTGGTAATCGTATTTTATATGATTGTTAGTTCTTAAGATATTTGGAATTCTGTTATGATTTTAGATACATGTTTTGTTTCGTTTTTTACCTTTTTTCTAGACTTTTTTAGTTTTGTTTTATATATTTGATGTTTCATGTTGCTTACATGTTTTGGTTTGCTTTCGACATGATTAAAACCTACCGGTTTTATTCAATTGCAATGAATGTTATATTTATTCGTATGAACAAAATATTCTTTTCGTTTTTAGTAAACACTCTACTAAAATAATTATAAAAGAGTGTACTATTTTTTTGGTTAATAAATTTTGTTTACATAACTTCACAATTAGTAAATTTACATACTACACAATTTACAGATAAAAAAGAAAATTTATCTTGTATTCACAATATGCTAAAGAAAAAAAACGTACTGTACAACGACATGCATTATAATATCCTGTTGCACATTAGTCATCTCTCTTTACACAAAAAAAAAACAAAAAAAATTACAACTTTGAGTTTAATGAAATTAAAAGTGCTTAAATACAACCAAATTATTTGACACAAAAAAAAAAAAAAAAACAACAAAAACTTATAACGAATGCATGCCAAACGGAATTTGAGGTATCAGAGTGTTATACAAAAAAAAATTACATTGGATAATTAAGAAGAACAGATTAACACGCGGTACACTCTGGTTTAAGGCATAAATTAACGTTTAAAGTGGATCCGCTTATTAAACTAGAGACCCAACTAAATTTTAATAGAAATAACCGGATGTATTAATGCCAATGAAGAGCATATTCATGACGTAATTGATCGCAGTGGCAGAGAGAGTCTGGCCGTAGCAATAGATGTTTTGAGGCTCTTAGCTTAATTCTTAATTATTCAATGCTAGATCCATCATAATAATATTGATCTCACCGAGCACAAAAATGAATCCCAAAGAAATAGTTTCAATAATGAACACGACAGGTCCTAGGTCGACCCAAAAAACAAAACCATGGTACTTTGGTCAAGTGATTGGCCTCTTGTGGTTGAGCTTTGTAACTCATGGTATGGTGTTAACCCGCATCTCTTACCCCAGGGTTCGTATCCTATCAGATACACATGCACTTTTGCCATTCATAGAAGGTCTTAAGTGGTAAACAAATTTGGATTAATAATGGCCTTGGGAATTACATTGGGTTTCGGCTTAGGATCATATTGCAACTTATCTCAAAAAAACAAAACCTAGTACTTTGTTGAGATTATTGGTTTTAGCAATTAGCATATTTCTATGGAGGTTAAGACTCTAAAATACGATAATTTGAAGGAAAAAATAAATAATAATGACCGCAGATTTTCCGGATATATTGTTCATTATAAATTTTGAGTTGAATCAATTATGGATTTGCCATTTTTTGTGATGGCATTTGTGGATTTTGTCCTTTTTTGAATAGTTTATGGATTTCGCCCTTTTTCAGACTACGGAAACATGCGTTTTATTCGTTATGTTTGGGTTTAGTCGGTTGTGGTTGTTCTTAGGGTTTAGTATTTTGTATAAACTACGTATTTTTACCAAAAAAAATCCAAAATACGTATATTTTTAAGTGTTAAAAAATGGCAAATCCATAAGATTTTTGCAAAAATGGCATTTTCAAAAGATTTTGGTAAAAAAGGGCAAAATCAACAATAATCCCTTTTGAGTTAGACACATCACACACCTAGTCATGAACCTTGTTTTAGTGTGATTTGGACATGACCAACTATAACTTATGTAACTGTCAAAACATAAAAATAATTTCAACGTATTTCATACCAAATGCATACAAATACATATGTATTTATTTTAGTCGAATACAAATATGTATTTATAACTCAAGAAATACTTTCTTCACTTATATTCCAGATGTGTTACGATGCGCACCACCGGGAATGGTCACATTGCTGTTGTCGCTTATAGAAGAAACCAATTTGTCATCGTCACCTTTAGTTGTGATTGGCAATTCTTGGAGGCTATTCTTTTCAAGGATATCTAATCCTGATACTTCATAGTCTTTTCCTTTTCCCCAAACTACCATATACAATCCCGCGGCGATCACGGCCCCTCCTATTACACTGCAATAACAAGATATATATATATATATATATATATATATATATATAAGGATCTGTTCATGAAGAATAATAAGATATATATATATATATATATATATATATATATATATATATATATATATATATATAAGATGTACTTACCATCCGAAATGGATTTGTTCATGAAGAATAAAAGAGGCAAGGAGAGCTACAAGAATCATGCAGAGAGGGTTAAAGGCAGTGACAAAAACTGGTCCTCTCGTCTTCATAACCATCCCTTGAACGTAGTATGTTATCCCCGAGCTTACTATGCCCTTCATTAAACCATGTCTGCATGGTTACTATTTTGGTCTCAAATGATTAGTTTTCGCGTAAAACTGATATAAATCTTACCGTGTAAAGAGGTGCAAAAAGCCTTGCATCCCATCCAACCGCCCATCCGCTGGAGTGGCGCTCCACCACAAGTGCTACAGCGAAGCTTTGGACAGCCCCGGCTAGGCATATTAAGGCTGATAGTGAGAGATCGGCTGGATATGTCTTTATTGTTATGGACTGTGAATCAAATATACATATGTATCAAATATCAGCGGGCGGGTTACATAAGCTTTTTCTAGTAAAGTTCACGCAAAGTCATCTCAAGGAGGCACATAAATCACTAATTGAGAGATTTATGTACCAAATCTATATTTAACGCCTATGTGAAGTTATAAAGTACTATATTTTCAAAATAGGGATCCAATAGCTATAACATATTTTAAAGTTTATATTTTATATAAAAAAAATTCTATATAATTTGCTTCTTTATTTATTTTTTATTTTTTAAATGGAGGATTCTACACAAATGGACTGGCTCGGCGGCCAAAAGGTAATATATATAACAAGTAACAATAATTTAGACTTTAATATTATTTGGTTTGTGGATAGGTAAGTATATTATATTACGTATGAATAAAAAAAGTAAGGAGCGTACCTGTAAAACATAAAAACCAGACCAAGCAACACAACCGAGGAGTATCAACAAGGTTCCAACAACCCAATTGTTATGGTCTTCTGAACTATTGGTATGTCCGTTTTGTTGATCCATAGTCGGGTTAGACCATGGTAAAGGAATAAGCGGACCTTTGTACAATGTCATTACCAATGCCCCTCCAAGACCCACCAATGTCCCAATTATCTTTGCTTTGCTTCGTATCTCTGCTATGTTCACTTTCTCCATTCTATTCAAATACCACCGTTTATTACATTCAATTTGGTTTTCAATACGTGTTTAAAGTTAAAACCATAAATTACCTTAAAATCCAAGCTATTATAAATGTGACCGAAGGAAGAATGTTCATGATCGCAGATGTATACGTTGCTGATGTCATATTCATCCCCAAGTAACCAAAACCCTGATCCAAGACTGGCCTACACACAAGGCGGTACGAAAAGTATGTATTAAGGGTACTTGCTACTTTATAAAATATCATGCCTCTTTTTTTATTTCTTCTCCAAAACATAATGTTTATTGTTTTGAGTCTTAAGAGTGCGAAATGGGAAAGCTTATACTTACTCTAAGAAACCAAGTGCCATTATTTTCCAGAAAACCGATAGTGTCATCTTCGGCCTCACTTTCCTACAAAATCAAAACCAAAACAATTCGATTTTATGTTTTAGTAACAGGGAAAAAAAAAACACTTTTAGGCCACAACATGCTAATTAAGAAAAAATGAAATGTATAGTACTGTATCCAAAAGAAGAACATTATAAATATTGTATAACATAGACTGACCTTTCAAAGATGAGTGCAAAAGGTGCAAGGACAAGAGCAGCCACAAGATTACGATACACAATTACGACGTAACGGTTCTGGCCTTGGTTAAGAGTGGCCATAATAACAATATATGTTCCTGCTGCTCCAAATTGCAAAAATATCATTAACAAATAAGGCCTAAACTTATGCATAGTTGCACTAACACCCTCCATGGTTATTGAAATTTTTTGTGTAATTTTTTTCTGTCTAGCTGGTTATTGAAAGAGTATGATGAACGAGTCTTCTTATATAAAAACATCAAAAAGGTGATATAGAGTTTTGGATAAACATGAGAACTAGTTTTTTCCCTCGATCGAGAGTCATGTAGCAAAAGAAAAAACAAAAACTATAAAGTATACATCTATATGAAAATATAAATATATATTAGGACACGACCAATGAGATACGTTGTTCAATAAAGAAAGATGATAATTGCTGTTTTGGATTGGTATGGGTTCGTTTATGGAATTGTAAAGCAAACAATATCATATAATGGCTCTGATGATTTCTTTTGCTAACACTATTATCCTGTTGCTCACGTCATAAGCTCTTTTTTTTTGTTTTATTTTTTGTGATTTGCCCAACTTGATAAACACGTAAACCTAAAATCTACACGTCTAGTGTTAGCTACGTGTATGTTTGGTTTAAGTGTCACGAAGAGTCCGAACGTTTTATGTTAAATGTTCATCAGAAAGCACGTGGAAACGACTTCGAATTTCGAGTATAACCGCTGTTAGTTACTCATGTTTGTCTCTTTCTTTCTAGGAAAAGCAGAGAATTAACAAACAAACAAAAAAAAAACAAATCAGAGAATTAGCAAACCCTTTTACAAACAAAAGAAAGAAAAAAGCAGAGAATATGTATGTGTGAGATTGGGCGTTGTTAAAGCTGCCTAAGCTTTTCCATTTTTTTTTCTAAAGTTATTGTTAAGGCTGATTTGTTCCATTTAAAATTCTTTTTTTTTTTTTTCTGTTAAAACCTTAAGAGTTTCGGACATCACACCAATACTATTTTCTAGTCCCTTTTGGTTAGTTCCATTTAATATTGCCAAGTAAGATTATCAAAAATTATTTTACGTCCAACCTGAAGTATCTATTCACGGGGATGGTGCTTGTCCAAGCTGAAGTATCCATTCACGGGGTTTAATTAACACTTCGGAACGCCTCCTTGGCTGACTTAAGAGCCCATCTAATGAAGTTCATATAGACCTGCTAAGGCTTATCGCGGCTCAGGCTGTGGTATACACTATATGGCATGAAAGAATAATGCTCGAATCTATACCGGTATCCACATTCCTGCTGAAGGTCTATTCACTACTCTTGATTGAAGATTCTGAAACACTTGTTCTGCTAGAAGGCACATCCCAAAATTTCAGGACATGCTCAAGCTGTAGTTTCGAGGATCTTCTTTTTAACATATATATCTTTATCTATCAATTTTAGTGTTCTTGTACCGGGCTTGTTCACCTCTGAATTCTTTGTCGTTGTGGCATCTAGGAAGTGATTGGATGAGGCTTTTAAGATTTTAAAAAGTTTTCTAAAGTTTTAAAATTTTTATTTTTCCTAATCAAGTTTTTTTGGCTTTAATAAATTATAAAGCCTTCAAAGTCTTTTTTATTTTTTACTCTTTGCTTTCAATTTTACTTTTTTTTCTTTTTTTTTTAAATCTTCAAAGTCTCTTTTTTATTTAAGTCACGTAAATGAGACTTTAGAAATAAATAAATTAAAAACTATAGTTTTTTTCTCTTTGTTTTTCTCATATGTATTTAAACCCTTATAACAATTCAAAAACAAAAGAATTTTTGGAAAATTTCAGTTGATTTACAATTAAATTTTTTTTCTTGTTTTTTTTAAGATCTATGTTCCCACATATTTGGTAGTTATTTAAAATCGTAATTTTTATAATCATAGTGTCTACCAATCGGTTAAAAAATTTATATAGTCAAAATCTTTACAGCAAAAGTTTCTACATCGAAAGTTCTTAAAGTCAAAGTCTCTACACCGAGAATTAACAGTCGTTACCAATCGGCCCCCTAGTATTTTAAACTATGTAATCAGTTACCAAATTATATAAAACCAGAAAATTTCACAAAATAAATAATATATATTTTACGTCAATCCATCAAAAAAAAAACTGCGATGCTAAGATCAGTCCCAACTCTTACTCTGCTCTAGTTAAACTTTTTTACGTTTTTTTAGTGTTTAAAATGATTACAAATTAAATTTTATCAAAATAAAACTCAAAACATAACATAATCTTAACTAGTATCATAGATTATACTTAACTCTCACCAAAAGATAAAATGATATATATTTAATTGGATACAAACAAGTAGATAAATATCGCAACGTAATATACAACAATTCTTTTCTTGGTTTTTAAGAATACAGCCCTTTTTATCATATATGTAAGAAAAAACAGAGAAGTTTGCTCCCATACCAAACGAGTTTAGACGGCTTGAGAATGTTGCCTGTAATCGACGTAGCTAATAGATTTCTAACATATATGGACTCTCTTAACATAGAGAACTATATATGAAAACAAGGGCAATATCGAACTATATAGTAATAACCGTGAAAAATTCTCTCGTGAATAACGATGCTTTGCCGATAAAACAACGATGGAACTAAAATATGTGGTTAATGTTTTTTTTTTTTTTTTTTTTTTTTGAAGAAAATATGTGGTTAATGTTATCGATAAATAATTATCGAAATGTTCGTTGTTGAACTAATCGTAGTGATAAAAAAATTACGTACAAGTACAACCTATATACCCCGACACACACACATCAAGAATTTTAAAGCAAAGAATCAAACTCAAAAAAGAAAGAAAAAAAATCATAAACACACCAAAATACAAACCATAGATAGAAACTAAAGAACAGTCACAAAAAAACTAGAAGTAGTTCAATTCTTTACAAAAGGTAGCTATGATTACATTTGCCATAAATGAGATGCAGTCTATGAGTTTTTTGAACAATATATGGAGGCAAATACGTCACACACTAAAATGAAGTAAGAATAATATTAGTGTTGTGAAATTTATTATTATCTTATTCCATTCCATGAATAATGATACATATATATAGGCATATAAACCTAGGGTTTTAGAGTATATAATGAATAACCCTGATGGGCTTATTGGGCCCGGTTATAAGTCCAATATGATGTATTATAACACTCTCCCTTGGACGGAGTAACCGGACCTGATGGTCAATCGGGATCTCGATAATACGCTGGGGAATGTTGCCTCATTAAAACCTTACCAGGAAAACCCAGTGGGAAAAACCATGGTGAAGGAAAAAGAGTACAACACGCATTACTCCCCCTGATTAGAGCATCACCGTAGATCTCTAAGTCTACGCATTCCTATTTGTTGGATGAGCTTCCGGAGTGTTGAAGCGGGCAATGATTTGGTGAAAAGGTCGGCGGAGTTATCGCATGATCGGACCTGTTGAACGCTGATCGTACCATCCTTCTGCCAATCCGAGGTTGAGAAGAATTTCGGTAGGATGTGCTTCGTCCGATCTCCTTTGATATAACCTTCCTTGAGTTGAGCAATGCAAGCCGCGTTGTCTTCAAACATAACCGTGGGCTCCTTATCTTCTTTCATACCACAATCTGATCGGATGTGCTGAGTCATGGATCGTAGCCAAACACATTCTCTGCTGGCTTCGTGAATGGCCAAAAGTTCTGCATGGTTTGATGAAGTGGTAGTGATTGTCTGCTTTATCGATCTCCAAGAGATAGCTATTCCTCCATGCGTGAACACATAACCACTTTGAGACTTGGCATTGTGCGGATCTGATTGATAACCTGCATCAGCAAAACCAACTAGTCCATCCTTGTTGTGGTTAGTGTAAAACAGTCCTAAGTCTTTAGTACCTTGAAGGTATCTTAGGAGGTGTTTGATACCATTCCAGTGCCTCTGAGTTGGACATGAGCTGAAGCGAGCTAGGAGGTTCACGGCAAAACAAATGTCTGGTCTAGTGTGACTAGCCAAGTACATTAACGCTCCTACAGCACTGAGGTATGGCTTTTCTGGACCGAGAATTTCTTCATCGTCCTTCTTGGGACCAAATGGATCACTGTCCAATCCTAGGCTCCGGACAACCATTGGGCTGTTCAATGGGTGGGCCTGGTCCATATTGAATCGCTTGAGTACTTTTTCAATGTAAGCCGCTTGATGCACAAGGATTCCTCCTTTAACGTACTCAAGTTGTAAACCCAAACAGAATTTAGTTTTACCTAGGTCTTTCATTTCGAATTCTGCTTTCAAGCAGTCGACTGTTTGGGAGATTTCACCAGATGTTCCGAGGATGTTTAGGTCATCCACGTAAACTGCTATGATTACAAATCCTTTGTTTGAGTATTTCTTGATGAAAATGCATGGACTGATGGGATCGTTTTTGTAGCCTTCTCTGATGAGATATTCGCTTAACCGGTTATACCACATACGTCCACTTTGTTTCAGTCCATACAAGGATTTGTTCAGCCTGATGCAGTATTGATCTCGAGATGCATGCTTATCTTTAAGCTCTATGCCATCTGGTAATCTCATGTATATTTCATTGTCGAGGGGCCCATAGAGATATGCGGTGACAACATCCATTAACCGCAAATCTAGATTTTCTCTTATGGCCAGACTTATGAGGAATCGAAAAGTAGTTGCATCCACCACCGAAGAATAAGTCTCCTCATAATCGATTCCGGGTCTCTGTGAGAATCCTTGTGCTACAAGCCGTGCTTTATAACGAACGACTTCACCGAGTTCGTTTCTTTTACGCACAAAGACCCATTTATGGCCCACTGGTTTGACATTGAATGGTGTCCGGATGATCGGACCAAACACATTCTGAGTTTGAGACTCTTTAACTCCACGTTTATGGCTTCTTTCCATTTTAGCCAGTCTGTTCTATGAGTGCACTCTGTGATAGACGTGGGTTCTAGATCCTCTTGCGTGTTCGCAATATCAAGTGCTACTTTGTATGCAAAGAGTGCATTTAAGTCGACTTCTTTTCTGTTCCATTGGGTTCCAGACATGTTGTAATTGATAGAGATCTCATCGTTATCGATCTCGTCAGAACCTAGAGATTCGGCGTCCCGAACCTCTTCTGGTGGTTCATTAGAGTGAGTCTCAGCGCGCGCTATGTCTGTTATATTGGGAATCCCGGTTTCAACTATTGCACCTTTCTTTGATTTCCGTGGATTCTTGTCTTTGGAACCTAGAGGTCTGCCACGTTTATTTCGTGATGCAGACTCTGTAGCAACTTGAACTTGTCCCGTTGGAACAGTGATTCGTACTGGTGCATTACAAGCTGGTATGTACGATTTGGTTACTTTGTTCGGGTCAGCAAAGGAATCTGGCAATTGATTAGCTAGCTTTTGATAGTGTATAATCTTTTGGATCTCCGAATCACATTCTAGAGTCCGAGGATCTTGCCAATTTAAGGATGTTTGATTCCATGATAGCTCTTTGACC